CGACTCGCCCCGGCTGTTTACACATCATCCGGCCTCCGCATGTCTTTGTAGGGGCATACATTGGGTCGCCATACAGTTCTGAATGAAAGTGAGAACAACGAAAGCTACATCCTTTATTTGCTTCACATACTAAGCGCATTCGTTGAGGCGGAATCCCGTTCGCATCTATTAGATTCATTAGTATCTCTAAGCTAGAATAATAGTTTGGAATACCCTAAACTTGGAACAATTGATTGATAATTTCCAAGATAACCGAACACGTCTGATAAAGGAAATGTTCACCTACTTGGCTCCCATTCGGTCAACATTCACATTTGGCACAAGCATAATTTGATTTCGAAATCACAATTATTATTATAATTTAAAGGCACCCTCTGAATTAATTTCGAATTGCTTGGAACCCTAACAGATCCATCATCGTAGAGCATAAGTGCAGTGTTTTTGGTAACGAATAATTTCTACTCAAAAGGCTTTGCAGCTCTCCAGCTCTCCAGTAGAAAAAGCGCCACACTGTGCGCATGACATTGTATAATGGAGGTGTGCTATAGTCAGGCTATCCGGTTAACACTTACTCGCAACGAGTGGGCATTCGGGGAAGCAATAGTTGAAGCTCAGTCAGGACAGTTTTCCCACCAATAGATGCCATCCCACATCCAGCAGCAACTGGTGGGGAAACGCCGCCCTGTATGTGCTCCAGTCCACGATCCCTCACACGCTCCATTGTTTCTTTCGACTGTACTTATCGCTGAGTAAGAATGCAGCATACAGCACTTCAAAGAAACGCAGTTCTAATTTCCAGTGGTCTTAATGTTCATGTGCCAATGAGAAGAGTTACTCTGGTTTCCTGACTTGAATGTCCGCGTATGAGTGTGTGTAAGGGGCTCAGCGTGCGCTTGTGCTACGTACTTCGCCAAATCACCTACTTGTAGAGTGTCGGTGGTCGAAGCACGGATCCGATGTGTATGACGTCGTTCACAGAGGAAGGAGTTGGAGCCCAGGTACGGTTTTCTTTGCCACCAAGTTAGGGAGTGCTAAGATTTTCTTCATGCATATGATATGCATCCTTTGACAGCTCGTGCACTCGCGAATTGCGAAGCGCTTGTTGAACGAACGCGCACCATTTACTTGCTCCGTCGTTTGTCAGCGGATGTGTGCTAACTCTCCCGGTTGGTGCATCTAGCCACGTTGGGTTTCCGCCGCGATGAAGTATGATAAGGCGTACCTTTAATTACGAGTACTTCATCTGTGTACAAGTGTAGAGCCTTTTGATAATCTTCTGTCAAGGAAGTTTCAGCTTTTCTGAGTTGTACATTCAGAACTTTGTTAGGCTCAGTAGCATACACTTTTCAAACTACGGACATCGAGACCGCCGCTCACATTTTATTTATCTCTGCAAGGCATTTCATAAATCTGGATATTTCCAGAATATGGACTGGTTGGATGTGATGCTTCAAAATGCGCCAGTAGAACAACGACTATACGGGAGTAGTTGAACTTTGAAAGATTCCCTCGTCAAACGAGGGAGTTCAACGGTGATGGTCTGTGCAACGTTGGACTTTCACAGTATGTAGTCGCTGATGTACGCCGCTTTGACGCTCAACAGCTCACAAACTAGGGGAGTTTCAACTTTCCGTTAAGCTTCAAGAAGAGAGTCAGGAAGACGATAAAGTCTGGTATGCTGACGACAGGCTGAGCTTGAACGCGCTTGTCACTGCATATAAGAAGAGTTGTCCTCCACGACTTGCTATCGGGGCGTCAACTATCCCCATGTGCCAACAATGGATTTAGGTGCTCAGAACGCGCTTGGGAGGTTTCGGTAGCCCCGTTGGTTTCTATATTTGCAATCGGAATCCAGAAGTCGTTCTGCCTGCGTCTCTATTAGAAGTTTGACGGTGAGCTGAAATTAGTTCCTGCTCCGAGTCCCTTCGAATTGCTCCTATTGAGGACGCCACGATTGAAGTGATCGGTCGGTACATAATGTATCCTGCCCCTCAAAAAATCGATTTTGTCGCTGCCTCCATTTATATTTGAAAGATATGTACGGATTTGATTCGCTGCACGCAAGTTACTGATGTCTCTTGCTTGTACGTTTTTGTTTTACTTATTTACTATTTTACTATTTCATTTACTTCTATTCCTTTTATGGTGATAACCGTCTTGTGTGACGTAAGATATTGATTACGAAGTTCTTATTGGTGCCTGAAACAGCTTTAATGCACGTGTAACTTTATTAGGATTCATTACAATTTTGTCTCAAAGGTACAGTGTAGGAAAGTAAGGTGAGAGTAATGGGTTCAGATATGGAAAGGAAGTGCTTGGTCTCTCACTCCTACTTATTCTTACTAGAATGGTGACAGAACTAAAGCTTTGGCACACTAAAGGGTGTCAAACTAGTGCTTAGTTCATACGTTGTGTAGTATCATCCTTGTAGCGCGAGTCAGTGAATATTGGTACATCGCATCTAATAAGGGTGGCCATAAGGGTGGAGACAGCTTTCATTAGGCGCGAACAAAGCTCGGTGCCTAGTTGCGAAGTGACCCCATTACGAGCGAGGGCTTGGAGGTCGTTTCGTTATTCACGTACCTTTATAGGAAGTGTAGAAAGATCAGTAAGTCAGAGAAAAAACGAGTAACATTCAGTATGCACTATTTATAATCAGTAATCAGGAACTGTGCCACTACTAATATTCAGAAACTTTTTATTTGAATGCTGCAAAATAACGTGTGGAAGTCATCTAAAATTCTGGAAATGAAATCTACCCGGAAAGGAGTGAACCCACTGGAACCGTATACACATATACATGAATACGATACACATATTTCCTTTCAACAAACGCTTGACTAAAATTAATTTAAAATGTCTTTTGTTCATTGTCTGATTCCACACCTGCATATTGCTGAAATGCTGCTGCCCTCCTTCCGGCTAATATTATGAGTGGTGACCTTTTTACACCTCCTACGTGATCATCATCTTATCATCTGCATGGACTCGAGAGACCTCTTCTTACAGTGAACACCTCGATGAGCGGCCATCTACAGGTACTGAAGCTAACGTTTGAGCTATAGTTAGGCACAATTTGTTGTAGAGAGTTGTATTCCTTGTTCTTGTTATCACTGCTTTACGATACGTTTCAGCCGCATGTTTTCTGTTTAGTTCATCTCCTACCTGGTCGACACTGTCTTCTTTTCACCTTTTCCCGAAATGTTCCTTCTTTCACCGTTATATGTGTTCCGCTTTACGTGATTCCTTCTGCAACAACGGCTTCGTACTACGTTGATCCGTTTTCATCCCACAGCCTTTCCCGTGCACCAACACTGTCACAGTACGTGAATCTCACGTATTTTCCCTGCGCTAACAGTTACCTGTTATGTTGATCGAAAGTTATCTCTGTTCTCCACTCTGCACCAGCACGATCGTATTACCTTAGTACTCCTCACTCTCTTTCAGCTCCTCCCTCTCCAGATGTCAATCAGCAGACGTTGTAACCGCAGCGATTCAAAGAAGAACGA